AGTGGTAGTAATAGTAGTAGTAGTAGTAGTAGTAGTAGTAGTGGTAGTAGTAGTGGTAGTATTAGTAGTAGTAGTAGTAGTAGTAGTAGTGGTAGTAGTAGTAGTAGTAGTAGTAGTAGTAGTATTAGTAGTAGTGATAACAGTAGTAGTAGTAGTAGTAGTAGTAGTAGTAGGAGTAGTAGTACTAGTAGTAGTAGTAGTAGTAGTAGTAGAAGAACAAGTACTAGTAGTACTAGTAGTAGTAGTAGCAGTAGTAGTAGTAGTAGTAGTAGCAGTAGTAGTAGTAGTAGTAGTAGTACTAGTAGTAATAATAGCAGCAGTAGTAGCAGTAGTGGTTGTAGCAGGCGTAGGAAATAGTAGCTGTAGTAGCTTCAGCAGCAGCAGCAGCAGCAGGTCAGCAGCAGCAGCAGTGGCAGTCGTAGTCGAAGTGGCAGTAGCTAACCTAACAACAGTGGAGCCTTCGCAGCTTTCCACTTTTGAGTTTGTTAAATGCCCTTTAGTTGCACAGTTGGCGTTTGACGGAATGGTACGCGGCCCCTTTGATTGTCTTGCAGCGGCAGCATCAGAACCAACCATTCATGAGCTTAGATGCCAAACGAAAAGCTTCTGCAAAAGAAAAAGTAGCAACACATACTTGTTGGAGAGCTCTGCACATCCAACTTGCGGAGCCAATCATTGTGTCACGCGAAGCAGCTATTGAGTGCCTAAGGGGATTTCCTACACAAAGGACCCGATCTTTGTGTCCGTTGGTATGGTGATAGACAATATGAGAAAAGCGCCATAATGAATAAAGAACCGTCTTCAAGAAAGCCCCCTTGCAGGCTGCTGCAACCTTCTCCGGAGCTTGGGCCTTGCACTTTCATGAGTGGTTTAGGGTTTAGGGGTACAGCGTGAGCTGTCAGTTGAATCTGACACTAAGGCGTCACTATGAGGAGAACCGCTGGCACGACACGCTTGGACACGGTTGAGCATGTAATCACTTGCAGAGGAACTGTGTACAGTTAGGATCCCACACCCCGAACATCCAGGCTCTAAAAAGCCCAAGACCCCAGATCTGAGACCCTACAGCCTTTAAGTTCGAGATCCACTTCATGAGCGCATAGGAAGTCTGCTCTCCAAAGCCAGACCTCGATCCCCGCTCACAGCTTAAGACTCTGCCGTAAGGTCTAGGCTAATGGGGACTTCGATGACGCAGGCCGGCATGACTTGGAAGCGATAGGGTTTTGGGTTTAGGGTTTAGGGCTCAGGGTTTAGGGTTCACAGCCACGCACGCAATTGCCGATCTCCTTCGATCCGCCCTCGCCCGCAGCCTGTTGCGCTGATGCTTGAGGAAGACTGATCTAGACCTGTACGCGAGTGGCTTGAACCCAGCGGCAAAGAACTCAACAACAAAACACTTATTTAACTGCGTATGTACTTAATTAATTGCTGCTCATCCCAGCAAACTTCGAAGTGCACAGCCTGCGCCCTATCAGTCGCATGGTTTGCTCCGCTAGAAAAGCTGTATACCTGGTGGCTGCTCTAAACTGGGTTCCCTTTGCTGTTCTAAACATGAACTAGGATTCGACTCATGACGGTGCCAGGAAGAGATATGGGAACACCGGTTTAGAACATCTCTGGTTGATGTACTTTGATGTCATTCATTGCTGGCATCCTTCGGTGTCCACAGCATTTGGGCGAGGGGGACCCTTAAATGGCTAAGGTCGGAAAACTCCCAGAGAGGGAGGCCTCGCATGTCTCATGCCCGGTATCCGGTCAAACTTCTTCGAAGTTTGCCAGGGTACTGCGCTCAACGTCCTTATCCGAGATCCGTGAGCCGTGTGACTGAGACATGAATGATCCGTCAAAGCAGGATTGTGAACCAGTCGCGGCTCCTTTGCCACCTCCGGTTGACAGAACTCGCAGAGGCAAAATGGAAGTCAGGCCTAAGCTTAAGCCTCTAAACCTCTAAGCCCCAGGATGACGGGACCTGGGGAGAAGCTCGCGGAAAGTGCGGGCCCTCCTTGAAGAAAAGGCCTCAATGATTGGAATAAGGCTTTGAGGACATATTTTACTAGCTCAGGCACGCCGCCCTGGTTCTTCACGGATGTACCAATCCCTACAACCTAAGACCTAAGACCACGCTCAAACTCCGTTTGCTACGATGAGCAATAGATTGAGCAGTATCTGTCAACCTCGTGACGGGGCCGAGGCTGCAAAGAGCCATGCCGAGCATGAGACAGCCACATATATGGAGCAACTGATGCAACCTAGACAAAGGGTTCTGTGCTTAGATGGAGAGAATGCAATTGCAACCTCTCGGCAAACTCCTCTTGTCGAAGTCACATGAGTCTGCTGTTCTTGCTTTCGCTGACTTGCGCGAAAATGACTGCCAGTCGGAAGACTTGCCTGTTCCATGCCGGGATCGCGACCTGCCTTCAGTTGCGGTCGGACTCAAACGGTCTTCTGCCTCGTTCTTCACAGAGTCAGCAAGCCTGAGTAACAGAATGGACTGCTCGAACTCATAAGGGCTCTCTTCTGCGAAGGCCATAAGGCTCTGCACGGTGGCGTGGCTGCTCTTGCTGGAGATGCTTGACGCGCGCGTACGGCAGCCGTCCGAGTCCATTCCACCGACACGACCGAGGCGAGCGGATGACTTGGAGGAGGATTTGGATCTCGGTGATGTGGGTGCCGACACAGACCGAACTGATGACATAAGAGTCAAAGTCGGACTCTCCATGATGCCTGCTGCTCTGTACCTTTGCTAGCTTGGGCCGAAACTCCATATACCCAGTCGGGCATCTAGGACGTCTGGTATGTCTGACAAAACTTGGATTCGTCACCAAAACATGGAATGGCAGAGTTCCAGTGAGGGTGCAGGTCCGTGGCATGCGTGTGGCTTCACTACAGCGCGTCAGGATTCAAAACTATGTCATGCCAGCTAGAGGCTAGGCTTCCATCTACACAGCCACCCTGCAAAAAAAAACCTACAGTACGGCAGCGAGCTTCATTCCGGGCGCCTTTGGGGTGTGGATGCTGTCGAGGCATGGTGCGCGTGGGACGCTTCTGCTGGACGTGAGCCGCAAGACGGCAGCAGGCATAGCAAAAAACCGCTGGCAGCTGCCTAAACCCGCCACCCTATTATAATGCCACGCTGTGTCTGTCCTCCGCACGGCGTGTCCTAAACCCCGGCATGAACCTGGTTGCATGGGAAATCAATACCCCGAACCCTAAGCCCTGTAAGCCCTAGAGTCCTGTAGACCATCCTAAACCCCGAAGATTAAGCCCTACTGTACATTTTTCATGCCCAAAACTACCATAAACCTCAAGCTATCCGGGCGCTGGGCACTTCGTCGTTTCTCTCTCGCGGTCGTGCAGCTAGGCTGGAAAAACGAGGCATGAGCTCCGCAAACCGGCAAACAAGACTCTTATCCACTGAAAACACTAATACCAATTTCATACTACAGTAGATAGTTGTGGTTTGGAATATTATGACGTTAACTTCATGCAGAGCTCGAGTCCCAAATGCTCGCTGCCTCAAGCTGCCAATTCATGGCTCAGCGAAAACTGCAGAATGAAAACTTGCATGTGGCATGGAAAAACAACTTTGCAGAGAATGGCACCAGGTTTGCCGAGAACCCAAATGCTCATCAGTTGTTCCTGCCAGAAGATGTCAACATGATAAGCCTGATATTCAATCATCACGTGCTGCCCCCCCGCTTGTTCAACTTCTGACAGATTTTTCCAGCCATGCAAGTCTGGTGGGCCCTAGGGGCGCAGACGGCCAGCAGCATGGGATTCCCCTGTCATCTTCGATCACGATATGTGCTTGGTTGTTGTAAATTATGGCTCCCTTCAAAATAGCAACATCTCAAAACGGGTTGGCTTCAACCAAGAGCCCGACAACAAAAAAGATCAACGTTCATGAAGCTAAAACACACGAATTTAAACGTTCCATTCTGCAAGGAAAGAAGATCCTGCCAGCTTCCAGTTCGTCCTAGCGCAGGCACCTGCTGCAATGAATCGGCATGGTTGCAAAGGCTGCGGCCTCCTCAGAAAGCTAGGAACCTTTCTTCGTGGAGCTTCGGCTTTGCACTCCAGATGGGGATTTCGAGTTCTAGTGTTCAGGGGCGCTTTTTGGGGAGGGTTTCGAGCTGCGTTGTCTGCTTGCGTGTGGCGTCACACGACTGGCCCATGCTGAAGGCAACACATGTCCCTTTGGTGAAACTGATGTGCCTTCTCGGGTTTTTGGAGTGCGGAGACACGAAACGCAAAAGATTACGCAGGTATCCCTCTATGACTCAAAGATAAGAACTGCCACAGGATTCGCAGAATCATGTAATTATCAGCTACAAGTCTCTTGTCAGGCATAGAACCACCAGCGAATGGAATCACGACGCGACCATGACCTCCTCAGAAACCATAGAGTTCCACGAACTGCTCGGCGAAACCTGTGAACCTCGGTGACACTTAGCTTCAGTCCCGGGCTCTTCTATCTGACCTTATGTGTGTATATATATATATATATATATATTTATATTTATATTTATATTTACATTTATATATATGCACAGAGAGATGTATGTGTGTATATATATATATACATGAATGTATATAAACAAATAAAGGTACACATACTCACAACAAAACAACCAAATGCATGAACAAAAACAGATACATAAACAAACTCATAAATAAATTCACAAGTAACTACACCAAAACATTAAAAACACAAGTAAATAGTATATGTATGTTATACATATAATTATTTTATACATACATGTATGCGTGTGTGTATATATATATATATATATATGCACCCATGTGTGTTTGTGCGCGCGCAAGCATACATCAGCCCCCACGGTAGTCCTCAACCACAACTGACTCTCAGCAAGCATGTCCCACGCAAGCTTCAATTCTGGAACAACACAGGAAGTTACAGCAGCTGCATGCTGGCACCGCCGAGGTTAACTCTAGACAACCATAGTGACGGGAGCCAAGAGTAAGAGCCGCTGACTGCACACGAAGCCTCTGCTCACAGAACCAACGAGCAGCAATAAAGGAAGAAAAGTGCGAACACCATCCCGCACAGCCGTCGTCAACCTCAGTGCCCTGGACACTTTGCGGACCGGGTCAGAGCTACGAGGAGGACTCGAACCTTGATTTGATCTGCATGCCAGGGCCAACCGCGTCTGCTGCCCCATCCGAACGAACAACCTCCCGGGCTTTTCTGCGTCACAAGGCCTCATACGGAGCCGAATGAATATTGAGCGGAAGTTGTCTGCTTCGTCCTTACCATCAGGCAAAGACTACTACACAATCATGCAAGTCAGCACCTGGACCTGGACTCCGTCCGCCAGCACTTTTCTCCAAAACTCTGCGCAGGGCTGGTAAAGGTCTAGAGCATAATCCCGCTACGCCTGCTGGATCGGTCGCGGGCAAAGAGCATTGTGTACAGAATTTCAAGTGCCATGGTTTCAGAAACTTCGCGGTGCAATATTTCAAGATCCTAGGAACAACGGTCCCTTCAGCTTCTGCCTCTATACTAGCACCCCTTGATACCCCTGGTTTTCTGAAAGGAACCAGAAGAATACGCAGAATCGAGGCTCGAGGATTGCAAGACTCGTTTATTAGTTATCTTTGTGAATTCAGATTGTCTGCACGGAGGCAGTTGTCCATGTGGAGGCACTCCGCCCTAACCCAACCCCCCTCAACCTGCTTCGCTCGAGAAGTAAAGCCCAAAAGCTCGAGAAGTAAAGCCCAAAAGCTCGAAAAGTAAAGCCCAAAAGCTCGAGAAGTAAAGCCCAAAAAAACGAAACGAGCAAGCGAAGATGACAAGCTGTCCGGCTGCTTCTCGCAGAGGACGAGTTAAAGACGGGTGGAGCCTCCCAGCTCAACGCTACGCTTATGCCGTTTAGGGCCCAGACTGATGAGAGAATCTGGTTCACATACCGGGAAAGGCGCAATGGGGCTGGCTGTAAACCCGTACATTATCGGCTTGCTTGGTGAAGGGTTGCAACTGAAGCATGACACAACTCGGCGAGGTAAGAACGGTGCACGTGTACCCAGTATTCCATGCACTGTGTGCATGCTTGATCGGTCTTATTCGTTACAATGTACCAGTAGCTCTGATGAAGGGGCATGAGCCGGGCATGAGTGCCGCCCATGTCGTTGATTAGCTCTTATCCCATTTGCTGGGGTTCGAGATGGAGTGCTATGATTTCTGCATCGTCGAGCTAGGTGGCATTCTTCTCCACAAAACAGATAAAAATCCATCCTTTCTACTAAAACATGCAAAACTCGATGCAATTCCTCCCGGGTGCACGATCCATGAACAAAATTCTGACGTGATCCTAAACTTTGTCCTCAATTCCCTGAGCTAAACTCTAGGCCATCAACTCCAAATCCAAAGGCCACCCGATTCCTTAAACCAAACTGAACCGGTCAGTGTGGAGACTTCGCGTCTTGAGTTTTCTCGCCTCGCAGAATTGAAGCTACCGCTGCTGCTACTGGTACTGCTACACTGCTGCTGATGCTGCTCCTACTACACCACCACCACCACCACCACCACGACTACTACTACTACTACTACTACTACGACCACTACGACTACTACGACAACAACTACTACTACTACTACTACTACTACTACTACTACTGCGACTACTACTGCGACTACTACCGCTAGTACTCCTACGACTACTACCACTACTACCCCTTACGCTGCTGCTACGACGACCGCTGCTAGCACAACTACCACTTGTAGCTACTAGGACGACTGCTGGTGCTGCTGGTGCTGCTACTGCTACTGCTGCTACTACTGCTTCTGCCACTACTTTTTCTGCTACTACTCTACACTACCACTGCAACTACCACTACGACGACGACGGTCGACGACTGCTAGTGCTAGTGCAAGTGCTAGGGCACTTAGCTCTAGTTCTGGCAGTACTGGGAGAAGTAGTAAACGTACTAGTAGTAGTAGTAGTAGTAGTAGTAGTCGTCGTCGTCGTCGTCGTCGTCGTCGTCGTCGTCGTAGTTAGCAGTAGTAGTAGTAGTAGTAGTAGTAGTAGTAGTAGTAGCAGTAGTAGTAGTAGTAGTAGTAGTAGGAAAAGTAGTAGTAGTAGTAGTAGTAGTAGTAGCAGTAGTACTATTAATAGTACTAGTATCAGCAGTAGTAGCAACACTGCTACTACTGCTGCCGATCCTGCTGCTGGCACTACTACTTTGATCCTCCTGCTCCTGCTCCTGCTCCTGCTCCTGCTCCTGCTCCTGCTCCTGCTCCTGCTCCTGCTCCTGCTCCTGCTCCTGCTCCTCCCGCTCCGATGCTGTTGAACCGTGCGCAACCGCAGAAACGGCAGTGCCGCTAAAGACTATGAGCAATGCAGTGAAACTGCCGTAAATTCCGGTGCTTTCCACACCGCGCTAAACTGTCCAATACTGCGGTTTGCTGCATCGGAACGTTATTGATTTGTAGATTGATCAATACGAACTGTTGCAACTCCTCCCGAAAACCAAAGGCCTGCAAATCTCAAGGCTCAAGCCCGCGACACTCGAGGCCTCCGGGAAACATAAAATCAGTCTTCATAGCGTGCTATTAATCGGGAATATTCGTGCATAGTAGAATTCAGCATACGAGCTGTCCTACCGATCACATTGTTGCATGCCATGCCTGAAGCCTATCAGGCCTATCAAAGTATCGGGTTCAGGCCGATGGCCTCAATCCCATGTTACGCTGCCTCT